GTGTGTTTGCACGTGTGCATGAGTGTGTGTGCACTCATGCGTGTGAGTGTGTGTGTGTATGAGTGTGAGCGTGTTTGTGCGAAAGAGAAGGGGAGAGAGAGAATGCGTGTATGTGAGAGAAAGAGAGAGAGAGGGTGTGAGAGAGAGACTGTGTATGTGAGACTGTGTGTGTGTATACTTGAGAAGGAGAGAGTGTGTCAATGTGTATGGGCATGATTGTGAGTGTGTGTATGAAAGAGGTTCTCTGTGAGTGTGTATGTGTGAGTGTGTCTGTGTCACAGAGTACATGTTTGTGTGTGCGAGTGTGTGTGTGAGAGTGTATAGTGTGGTGGGGTCACCTGCAGTGTGACATGAACCCAAGATCCCAGTTGAGGCCGTCCTCATGGGTGCCGAACTTGACTATCAGCCTCTGCTTGGTGACTCTGCGCTGTCGTGTATCCCAAAGTCCACCTTGGAGGACATTTATCCAAAGATCTGAGGCCGAATGTCCTTGACCGCTGAAGCGTTCCCCCACTGGGAGGGAACATCCCTGTCTGGCGATTGTTGGGCGGTGTCCATTCATCCATTGTTGTAGCGTCTGCATGGTTTCACCATATACCATGCCTCGGGGCATCCTTGCCTGCAGCGTATGAAATAGGCAACATTGACCAAGTCACTTGTGTATCTGCTGTGCATATGGTGGGTGGTGTTCCCATGTGTGATGGTAGTATCCTGTCGACGATCTGACATGTCTTGCAAGACATGGATACTACCATGGGTACACCTCATCAGGTCCAGGGGATATATCCATCTTCATACATTTGAAGATGTCCAGCACCACCTCCTCTGTAATATGGACATTTTTCAAGATGTCACGATTTATTTCCCCAAGTTCTCTATCTTCCATGTCCTTCTTCACAGTAAACACTGATGCAAAATACTCATACAGTATCTCTCCCATCTCCCGCAGTTCCATTCGAGGTGACTTTGCTGACCTATAAGGGGTTCTAGTCTTTCCTTAGTTACTTTTTTGTCCTTATTGTGTTTGTAGAATCGTTTTGGATTCTCCTTCACCCTTTATACTAAAACTATTTCATGCCCTTTTTTTGCTCTCCTGATTTTCCTCTTAAGTAAACTTCTACTGCCTTTTATAGGGTTTCACTTGATCCCTGCTGTATATACTTGACATATGCTTCCTTTTTTTCCTTAACCAAAACCTCAATTTCTCTAGTCATCCAGTATTCCCTACACCTACCAGCCTTGCCCTTCACCCTAACAGAAACATACTGTCTCTGGGCTCTCATTATCTCATTTTTGAAGGTTTCCCATTTTCCAGCTGTCCCATTATCTGCAAATATCTGCCCCCAGTCAACTTTTGAAAGTTCTTGCCTAATACCATCAAAATTGGCCTTCCTCCAATTTAGAACTTTAACTTTTAGATCCAGTCTATCCTCTTCCATCACTATGTTAAAATTAATAGACTTATGGTCACTGGCCCCAAAGTGTTCCCCCAACGACACCACAATTACCTGTCTTGCTTTATTTCCCACGAGCAGATCAAATTTTTCTCTTTCTCTAGTAGGTACATCCACATACTGAATCAGAAAATTTTCTTGTATGCTCTTAACAAATTCCTCACCATTTAAGTCCTTAACGCTATGGTAGTCCTGGTCTGTATTTGGAAAGTTAAAATCCCCGACAATAACCACCCTATAATTCTTACAGATAACTGAGATCTCTTTGTACATTTGATTCTTAATTTCCTGCTGACTATTGGGGTGTCTATAGTACAATCCCAATGAAGTGGCCATCCCTTTCTTATTTCTCAGTTCCACCCAAATAGCTTCCCTGGATCATCCTCCCTAACTACAGCTGTAATCATAGAATCACAGAATCCCTACAGTGTATAATAAACAGGCCCTTCGGCCCAACAAGTCCATACCGACCCACAGAGCATCCCACCCAGACCCATTCCTCTATAACCCACCTAATCTACACATCCCTGAACACACTATGGGCAATTTAGCATGGCCAATCCACCTACCTTGCACATCTTTTGACTGTGGGAGGAAACTGGAGCACCCGGAGGAAACCCACGCAGACATGGGGAGAATGTGCAAACTCCACACAGACAGTCGCCCGAGGGGGAATCGAACCAGGTCCCTGGTGCTGTGAGGCAGCAGTGTTAACCACTGAACCACCGTGCCGCCCCCTAATGTTATCCTTAATCAAAAATGCCACTCCCCATCCTCTCCTGCCCCGCATTCTATCCTTCCTATTGCATCTTTACCTTGGAACATTAAGCTGCCAGACCTGTCTGCCCCTGAGCCACATCTCTGTAATCGCTAGGATATCCCAGTTCCATGTTCCCAACCATGCCCTGAGTTCACCTGCCTTACCTGTTAGGCATCTTGCAGTGAAATAAATGCATTGTAATTATCAGTCCTACCTCGTTCTCTGCTTTGGTCCTGCCTGCCTTGAATGTTTGACTTGCTCCTTTTCCCAACTGCACCAGTCTCAGACTGATCTCTTTTCTCACTATCTCCCTGGGTCCCACCTCACTCACCCTTCCCCCCACCCTCATTACTAGTTTAAATCCTCCTGAGCAACTCTAGCAAATCTCCCTGCCTGTATATGAGTCCCCTTCCAATTCAGTTGTAATCTGCTCTTCTTATACAGGTCACTTATAACCCCAAAGAGATTCCAATGATCCAAAAATGTGAATCCTGCTCTCCTGCACCAACTCCTCGGCCACACATTCATCTGCTCTATCCCCCTATTCCTACTGTCACTAGCTTGTGGCATCAGGAGTAATCCAGATATAACTACACTGTCCTGTTGCCTTCAATGATCTATGGATATGCACTCCAAGGTCTCACTGATTGTCCATGCTTCCTCATATCTGACCATGCAATGTGGACTTCTTTGCCTTGTTAGACCTAATTGATCAGCTTGTCCAAATTGTCCTATAGTCTAAGGATTTTATCCTTGCTATTTACCACAGCGTCACCAATTTTTGTGTCATGAATCCAGTGATTGTCATAGCAGCCAAAGCTGGCCCACGTAAGGTGTTGTCAAAATTCCTCTGTCGTACATTGTGTCTCATGGGTGAACAATCCATGCTTAGAATCTTTGTTGCATGTTGCAGGCAGCCTTGAAGCGATGTCAAAAATGAGCATAGAAGCTGTTCGTCTGGCTTCACCTCAACAAACAGAAAATCCTTCTATGCATTTGGCTTCCATGTTATGACCTGCCTGAACCAGTGAGTAGCTCTGAGTGATGAGAGTCCATACGTTCGCGAGCTTTGCCTTTGGGAGGGCTCCATTGTATCTGTGACCTTGTCTTGCCATGAGATGTCCCAGAAGGTGCCATGCTGAAGGCCGTATAGAATGTGAAAAAAATGCACAAGTGAGGTTCAATGCAGACATGAATGAGGTGATGCAATTTGGTTAGAAGAACATTGAAAGACAATACACAATAGGAGTACAATTCTAAAGAGGGCCTTGGGTGAATATAGGCACAGGTCATTGAATGTGATAGAACAAATGGAGAGAGAAGTAATTAAGCATACAGTGCCCTCAGTCTTATTAACAGGGGTGAAGAGTACAAGAGTAAAAGGAGATGATGTCGATTTTGTATGGGATATTTGTTAGCCCTCAGCTGGAGTATAGTCTACAGTTGTGGGCAACACATTGTAGAAAAACGTGAACATATTGGAGAGAGTGCAGAAGTGATTTACAAGAATGGTTCCAGGAGTGAGAAACTTCAATGACAAGGATAGACCAAAGAAATTGGAACTATGATCCTGAGAGAGATGGCGTTTTGAATGAGGTTTACAAAATCATGTGTGGAATGGGTATAGCAGGTAGGCAGAAGCCGTTTCCACTTGTAACAGGAACAGGATAGAGAGGACGTAAAATCAAAGGGATGTGCAAATGAAGCAACGGTGATGTGATTAAAATAAAATTTGTCCACAAGGTGGCTGGTATGAAATACACTATCTGAAAGTCTGGTGGGTGCAGGTTTAAGCATTCAAGAGGGCATTGGATGATTATTTGGATATGAAATAGCTGCTTGGAGGCTGGAGTTCCATCACCCAGTCACCCTTTTTTACTAGCATTCTGGCTCTGGCCCAGCCAGCTCGGAGTCATTCTTCACTGAAGAGATTCTAATCTCTTGGTTATACTTTTTCTGTTTATTTTTCTCTTGTTTACATATATACGATTTCCCTTTCCAGACATGACTGCCAAACCACAGTCATGTTTATTTTCCCAGAACCTGTGTCATCTCTTGATTATATTTTATTAACACACCACCGCCAGGCACGACTGGTTATATTGGCGATAACACGGTGTAGGGCTGGATGAACACAGTAGGCCAGGCAGCGTCAGAGGAGCAGGAAAGCTGACATTTCCGGTCTGGACCCTTCTTCAGAAATGCCGCTTTCCTGCTCCTCTGATGCTGCTTGGCCTGCTGTGTTCATCCAGCTCCACACCTTGTTATCTCAGACACCAGCATCCACAGTTCCTACTACCTCTGGTTATATTGGTGATCCAAGACTTTCCTGATTGGCCCAGGCCCAATCAAGAACCTCGTAGTTAACCGGGGCCACTTGGTTCCAATCACTATAGGATGGTAATGGTGTGCAGGGATATGGGGAGACATTAGGAGATTGCTACAAGATAATGATGCTCCATTGAAGAGCTAGTGTGGACCAGGGCCTGAATGGCCTGTTCGTGACTCCTCCCATTCCTCCAACATGCATGTCAATCAAACGCGTGACGTCAGAGAGGTAGAACGCTTTGAAGATAAAAGGGAGGGAGCTACAGTCGCCATGGGGACACTGGGCTCCGCCCCCTGGTCGCTATGGGGACACCTTGCCCCGCCTCTTAACCCCTAGGTCACGCCCATCAGCACGCCGTGTATTTCCACGCCCCGCCCTCAGCCCCGTCGCCACGGAGACACATTGGCTATGCGCCCCGCTCGGTCGCCATGGAGACACTGGGCTCCGCCTTCCGCCCAGTCGCCATGGAGACACTGGGCTCCGCCTTCCGCCCAGTCGCCATGGAGACAGGCAAAGCGGCCTCCGGCTCAGGCCTCGGGATGATCTCTCTCCCCCAGCTGAGCCCCGGAACCTCCCAGTGCTGGATCCCCCAGCCTGGAGGAGGGCCCCCCTCCCGCGCCCCGGTGCCCCAGTCTGCCGCTGAAACCCGAGCCGCCTTCGCTCCGGTGCAGGTCCGAGCCGGACTCGCCCGGGAGGTCATCAAGTGGCTGCAGAGCCTTGACCTGAAGTTCCCGTTCAAACACGTGAGGAAGTGAGTGTGGGGCCAGGGAGGGCATTGGGGTCAGGGGGAGTGAGGGGGGGGCAGGTTGCGAGGGAAGGGGGAAGGGGGAAGGGGGAAGTGGGAAGTGGGAAGTGCAGTGAGAAGGGGAGAGTCAGAGCGAGTGGGGGTGGCGAG